GGAGCAGGCTTTTGGGGGGCGAGCCTGCCGCGTGAGAGCCTCCCATTGGTTCGCGCCCGTGACTGACAGCTGCGTTTTTAAAATAATAATAACAATCATGGAAATGATTGAGAGCAGAAAACGATAAAATGAAGAAAGGCAGAAGAGAATCACGAAAACAGACTGAACAAACACGTGCCCTTGTTCTGAGCGAGTCATCTTATTACATGTACTAAACAAGAACTAATACAGGAGCCAGATTTAAGTCCTGCTTTAGTCTTGCTGTGTTTAATCCTGGTTTAGTCCTGGTTTAGTCCTGTTTATGTCTGGTTTAGTCCTGGTTTAGTCCTGTTTATGTCTGGTTTAGCTTTGGTTTAGTCTTGGTTTAGCCTTGCATGCTTTAGTCCAGCTTTAGTCCTGGTTTAGTTCTTGTTTAGTCCTGGTGTAGTTCGTGTTTAGTTCTGTTTTAGTCCTGGTTTAGTCTTGGTTTAGTTCTTGTTTAGTCCTTTTTTAGTCGTGCTTTAGTCCTGGTTTAGTTTTTGTTTAGTCCTTTTTTAGTCCTGTTTTAGTTCTTGTTTAGTCCTTTTTTAGTCCTGGTTTAGTCTTGGTTTAGTTCTTTTTAGTCCTGGTTTAGTCTTGGTTTAGTTCTTGTTTAGTAACTGGTTTAGTCCTGGTTTCTTATTTAATCTCCAGTCTTTTACTCCTGGTTTAAACATGCTTTGGTCTGGGTTTAGACCTGGTTAAGACCTGGTTTAGTCTGGGTTTAGACCTGGTTTAGTCCTGGTTTAGACCTGCTTTAGTCTGGGTTTAGACCTGGTTTAGTCCTGGTTTAGACCTGCTTTAGTCTGGGTTTAGACCTGCTTTAATCCTTGTTTATTGCCTGTTTTTTCCTTGTATGGTTCACTTTCTGATTAGTAAATCATTCAGCTGTCTCCAAGGTGAACTGTGCTGTGGTCCCTGTTTATTAGTCCTGCGCTGGCCTTGGTTCAGTCCTGGTTTAGTTCTGGTTTAGTCCTGGTTCAGTCCTGCTCTGGCCTTGGTTCAGTCTTGCACAGACTGTTATTCTGGTTTAATCCTTAATAGACGTCGCTCCATTTCACATTTTCTCAGGGTTCAGTTTGATGCTTTTCCTCTCGTTTACCACCTATAGCCTCATCTCTCCTTTCCCCCTCACATGCACTCTCTCCTGCCATCCCTCCTTTCTCTCTCTCCCGCCACCCCCTTCTCTCTTTCCCTCCATCCCTCCTTTCTCTCTTTCCCTCTCTCCCTCTCTCGATCTCCCCTCTCTCCCTCTCTCCTCCCTCTCTGTCTCTCCTCTCTCTCCCTCCATCCTCGCCTTCTCTCTCTCTCCCTGTCTCTCTCTCGGTCTCTCTCTCATCCCCCCTCTCTCTCTCTCTCCCTCATCCCCCTCTCCTCGTACGTCACTCCTCTACGTCTATATTCGAGGACACCTTGATAGTCTCCCAGAGCGCATCGTCATCACCATCATCACACGCGCGCTCACGGTTAAAAGACGCGTGCACGCGCACGCAAAAAAACAATGGGAAAACGCGACGCAAGGTCGAAGCGCGCCATCGTAATGAAGTGCGCGCGCTGCGGTCCGGACTGGAATTTAAATGAACAAAGACGGAAGCGACCAGGAAGCAGCGACGTGCTCCGAGTGAACGTCACGCCGGAAATATGCTAACGACTGTGTGTAGTTTAGACCTACTAACTGTTCTGAAATACACGGGATTCTTGGATTATTTTAGAGGTTCAGATTTCTGTCTTCTCTCAAATATATATTTCTTTAACTTACCTTTTCTTTTCTTTGCATTACCTTTATTTTTGATACGATCCTAAACGATACATTTTGTACCTTCTTTATCACCATTATTATTAGTTTGTACGACCATATATGTAATTTATTTTGATATATTTAAATATGTGTAAAGTTTCTTGATCAGTGCACATAAGAAAGCTTTACATTTGTGTTTTTATCTCGAACGCTTGGACTAGTCTGTGTGCAGTGCGCGTAGGCCTGAGCTGTGCTGCGATTGGCTGGATGGAGCTCGTGGTGCTGAAAGGACAGCTCCACGCGCGCCTACGCAGCCTCGTGCTCTGGGTCCTCGTACGGCGCGCGCGTTTGACAGAAAAAGAAGAGGCGAGAAGAGAAGAGAAGAGAGGAGTGAGAAGGAGAGGAGGAGGAGAGGAGAAGAGGAGAGGAGAAGAGAAGAGAGGACAAGAGGAGAGGAGGAGATAGAAGAAGGAGAGGAGAGGAGAAAGAAGAGAAGACAGGAGGAGGGAAGGAGAGAAAAGAGGAGAGAGGAGAGGAGGAGAAAAGAGAGGAAGAGAGAAGGAGAGGAGGAAAGAAGAGAGGAGGAGAAAGGAGGAGAGAGAAGACAGGAAGAGACAGAAGAGAGGAGGAGAGAAGAGAAGTGGAGAGAAGAGAGGAGGAGACATACGGGTCATACCAGCTTGTCAAAGTCTGATCCCGTCAGATCTCAGAAGCTCAGCAGGTCTGGGTCTGGTTAGTACTTGGATGGAGACCACTGGGAAAATCAGGTGTCACAGGGGGCACCAGTCACAAAAACTGTTGACATTGTGGCCTTAGGCAAGACACAATGGATGGAGGATGGAGCATGAGATTGACAGGTGGATCGGTGCAGCGTCTGCAGTGATGCAGTCGCTGTATTGGACCGTTGTGGTGAAGAGGGAGCTGAGTCGAAAGGCGAAGCTCTCAATTTACCGGTCAGTCTTCGTTCCCACTCTCACCTATGGTCATGAGCTCTGGGTAATGACCGAAAGAACCAGATCGCAGATACAAGTGCTCGAAATGAGTTTCCTCCGCAGGGTGGCTGGGCACTCCCTTAGAGATAGGCTGAGGAGCTCAGTCACACCGGAGGAGCTCGGAGTAGAGCCTCTGCTCCTCCACGTCGAGAGGAGACAGTTGAGGTGGCTCGGGCATCTGTTCCGGATGCCTCCTGGGCGCCTCCCTTGGGAGGTGTTCCGGGCATGTCCCGGGGAAGACCCAGGACACGCCGGAGGGACTATGTCTCTCAGCTGGCCTGGGAACGCCTCAGGGTTCCCCCGGAGGAGCTGGAGGACGTGTCTGGGGTGAAGGAAGTCTGGGAGTCCCTGCTTAGACTGCTGCCCCGTGACCCGGCCCTGGATAAGTGGAAGAAAATGGATGGATGGATGGAACTTACTTACAAACTAGAGATGAAAAGAAGACATCAGTGTGGGTTTTTGCTGCTGGACACCTTATGGGTTTAGTGTAAACTAATGTAACTCCAAAAGCAAATGTGTGTTCAAGGGAGACACAAGGAAACCCAGGAGACTTCTGGTGTTTGGTTCTTGGGCAGTTTGGGCTCTTAGCTTTATGTTTCATGTGGAAACAACACAACTGGTCACTCTGCATTGCAAAAGGTTTTCATATTTAATGAATCAACTGTACATGGGACATTGTATGTTCAAAGGACGTTTTCTCCCAATGCATTTCCCCAGCAGGGATCAGCCCTGAAAGTAACAGCCCCACACACCAGACTCCAGGAGAATATCTAAGTATTTGTTATATAAATCCATATCAGCCTGGATTTTTCCAGGCAACAAACTTTACGCTCTTACTAACTACTACTACTACAACTACTACTACTACTACTACTAACTGTCTTACTCTTAAGGTTATGGCGAAATGTACAGAAGGATTTCTTGCTATCTGATTTCAAAATTGATTTAATTTTTGGCAAATTTTTATTTACTGAAACACTAAATAAAATAAAATCCTTTCTGTAACCTATATAATTAGTAGCCTATCTAATACGAGTACAAAATTAAGTAAAAAATGTAAACCTGGCTCTGTCTGCTTTTGAAACTGAAATAACTCAAAAAGGTCAGTAGACTGCATTGGAAATTTCAAATTAATATTTGTAAATGTAAAATGTTTTCCTATTCACCTGCAGTGTCTTGTCAAGTAAAGAACAAACAAACAAAAAAAAGCATCTTACAGAACCAGTATGGTGCGGGCGGCCCCGGTCCCTGCCATATCTGTGCTGGAACAGATTTCAGTTTGTACAGTGCTCGTCTGTGTGGGGAGTATTGCTAAAGTTAGGACCTTACCCAACGAGAGAACAGTGGCAGCCTCTTTACAGTGTTCTGACAGAATGTTCCCTGCCTTATATATCTAAATGTGGTCCTTTTTACTCTTATGTCAAACTTACACTTGGTCCTTGGAATAAATAAAATGTTTAAATGTTACTAAAGTTTTGTTATGTTATGGCCAATATGTTTGTGTACACGTAGACATATAAGTTTGCAAGTTTAAAATTTGACAGAATGTTACGTTATTTTGTGACTAAATTTAAAAACATAAATCATCACTGGACTAAATCAAATATTAAAACAGTACTGGAGGTTGTATTTAGCCAAGGTGTATGTGTGTGTGTCTTTTATTGTGCATCTTTTTACATAGACTCTATATATTCTTTATATAGCCTATGATCTTTTGTAATGCATCTTGAATTGGAGAAAGCCAAGGTCCAGGTCTAAAACACAGAATTAGAAGAAACATATTTTTATTATGGTGAGACGTCCGTGATAAAAGAGACATTAATAATGGTAATAATACAGATGGGAGTAAAGTAAAAAAAAAAAAAAAAAAAAAAAAAAGTAGGATACTACGGTGAAGTCAGGAATAAAAACAGCATATTACTGTCTCATTCAATGCAAATTAAAAAATAATAAATAAATAAATAAATAAATAAAACGGGACACTTTAAAACTTTAACATAGTTATTTTGACATTCTACTAAATTAAAGCAACTCCAAAACAACGTTAATGCCTCAAAAGAAGATGTTGAAATTATCCAGTGGTTTATAATCCCAAAATATAATATATATAAAATATATAGAGTTCTCCTTCCAGTTGACCTCAATGTAAACAAATCGGGCAGCAGAGGGCGACAAATCTTCTTCCGCACCCCGCATGAGTGTCATCACTTTGGACCAATCAGATTCGGTGACGAGGATGACTTGGGCGGGATTTGGGCAGACGCAAACATGGCGACGTCCTTAGAAGATGATGTCGAGCCGAATAACCAGGATTATTATTCTCTTTTAAACGTCAGGAAAGAGGTAAAAAGTTGATATTAATTTGCAAAATGTCGGCTTTGTAGTGGACTTTAAATTGTTCGTGTTAGCGGAGCGGTTTTGGAGAAATGACGTCGCGAAGTTCCAAATCTGAGCTCTCAGGTTGAATCTGCATCCTCCTCCTCCTCCTCCTGCTCCGGGAGAGACCGGGGGATGCTGCTACACTTTTACCTGAAATAGGTCAAATATTGCAAGTTTATAATGATTTACATGGCGCTGAATAGTTTTGCAATGTCAGAGAATTACCCATTTAATACTAGATAGTACATAAAGATGACCGTAGGAACATTAGCTACTACTCCTTCCTTACCATCTTATTACAATATAGTCCCAAATTTGTAACAGTAAACGAATATTCATAGAAGTATTAGTGATCATTTTTGATAGTATTTCAGTAAGCTGCTTTATTTTAAATGTGAACAAATGGCAGGAATAGTTTACATAGTTCATAGAGGAAAGGATCATGTAAGTGATTAGTGTCACTTTAATCCAACAAAAACCTTCATGTTTTCTTACTGAGCACTGTACAAAAATGTGGTTGAATAAGATAGATAATATATATAATGAGACCAGATTTTCAAAAACAAAAAATGGGACACCCCTTGTTTGTGGTGGGTGGTAATAATAAAACTGTGAAACGAGTGCGTAATTATGGAGAACTGTTCTGCACTAATAAGTCACTAAAGTCACAGTTTCTTTGTGTTTTCCCTCGTTTTACCTCAACAAATGACAATTTATGCCTATTTTTACTGTTGGCAGGTATCAAACTGGTTAAAAATAGGGACACCTGGGACATTTCACAGACTGTGCACACGAGTGAAATGATTTCATTAGATTTTTCCCAGAAATACCAAAAAGCAGTGCTATAATGATTGTGAAACTATAAAAAGCCAAAATTCTGAACTGAATGGTACAATTTAGTTTAATAATTCTTGTTCTTATGGGCCAAATCTTGTGACATGTACCATCTCAGAAATTGTGTCTCATCCCACCCTTAAAAATATACGATCTGTGTGCAGAATTGGGATGCACAATTTAACTGAATATACTGCTAATGAAAAACTGAATGAATAAATTAGGAATTAACTCTTGAATCACATACTAGGATACTTAGCAGCTGATATCATCGACACTCCCTGGGGATGTGATGTTGTGTCTGAAGTACTCTCTCTTACTGAAGTTAGACTTTAATCTGTTCTTTGTTTTAACACAATAAAAATACTACAACTACTGATCTATGTTATGATGTTTCCTTATCACCTGCAGTTGTGTTTTCTTTCATTCTCACATGTTTGAGTAATAGTCTGTCTACATCTCAGAAACTCTAAGAGTTCCTTCCACCTTGTGATATCATGAAGTGGTAACGGTGCCTTTTACCTTTAGTTCAGTAGAGATTTTCCATTCCAGAGCTAACAAAGGTGGGAGTTTGTGTGTTAAACATGTCAATGTCAATGAAAATATTATAACATGGGCCCTTTATAATGTAATGTACGGTGATATCAAGATGAACGTTAAGTTATCAGTTAATCGGTAATCATTTGAAAAAGTGAATTTGCATCGCTTGGAAAATTTTAGAGTCTGGTAAAATAAATAAAACATTCCATTTAGAGCCTTCTTGTACAGTAACTTCTTGCTCTTCTGTTCAGTCCCTAATGAGAAACAGCCTTTGCATCTCGAGCTTTCCTCTGTCCTCCTATGTTCTAATATCACGTCTCCACTTTTTGGTCCCAGGCGACTCTGGAGGAGCTGAAGGCGTCCTACCGCAGACTGTGCATGCTCTATCACCCCGACAAACACAGAGACCCGGAGCTCAAGAGACAGGCCGAGCAGCTCTTCAACCAGGTGCAGACGGCCTTCACAGGTGAGCTAAAGATCTCAAGGCTGTAGTCGACAAATAAATTCATTTTAGACTGAAGACGTGTGCTGATGATCGATTATTTTTGACCCAAACTGCACTCACAAGACTGCACCTGCACTGGAGTTCATGCAAAAACTACTATTTATGCAGAAAAAAGGACTAGGAAACAATGTGTTTATATAAAGACAGATTAAAGGTGCACTATGTAACTTTTTGGTTGGGGGTCCATCACCTGCTTTTTTCTATAGATATGTCATTGCTCTGCGTCGAATGTTCCACAGTGTGACATTAAACAGCTCTACCTTACGTTTATTCAATTATAGGTGGTTTTACTGCTCAAAAATACCTAGAAAAACAGACATTCTGACTGTGAGCGGGGTCACCTCTCCACAGATCTGACCTGTAATTTCATGAATACAGAAAGTTACTATACTGTGAAACATTCTAGATGAAGCAATAACATCTCCATGGGGAAAAGCAGTTGACAGACCCTCCACTAGAAAAGTTACACAATGCACCTTTATACTTGTGAATCTTGAGTTTAATCTGACTTTTTACAAATAAATACCAAAATCCCGTCAACAGATACAGATTTTGCTTGATTAAGACTCCATTGACCACATAACAGACAAAATGACTAAAGGACTACAGCTTATTGTTCACTTGTAATAGTTTCATATTGGACGGATTCAGAAGTTCACAGTGAATTCTTTATTTTTAGTGCTAAGTGATGATCATGCCCGTGCAATCTATGACATCTTTGGAAAGAAAGGCCTGGAAGTGGAAGGATGGGAGGTAAGTTTAGACACCTCTGCTCTTCTGACCCTCACCTCTGCTCCTCTGACCCTGTCCTCTGCTCCTGACCCGCCACTCTGCTCCTTTGACCCTGTCCTCTGCATCCTTTGCTCCATATGACTTTCTCCTCAAAACCTTTTTGTTTTCATCTTTTTCTTACTATTGTGTGATTTTTTTTTTGTAGGTTGTGGAAAGGAAAAGGACCCCAGCAGAGATCAGGGAGGAGTACGAGAGACTCCAGAGAGAGAGAGAAGAGAGGAGACTGCAGCAAAGGACTAACCCCAAGGTGAATAAAAGAATCAATGTGTGCAACCTGTGTAGCTAAAAATAAGAAATAAGGAAATATTTTCAGTAAATAAAAGCATAATATAATAGGGATGGGTAATATATTAGTCCTGGTATTGGTACTAGACAATATCGATATTTTCCTAAACTGTCCCAGCGTGTGTGCCAGGCTCCATTTTAGGAATAGGATGTTTTTTACTGATAAAATATGAAACAAAAACTCCAGTAGAGCAGGTTAATACGAACATTTTAAGACCAAACTGACGAGGCTCACAGCAGCAGGTACAGAGAGAGGATCCACAATATTCCAACATAAATCAATGGGAGCCAGAGTCAGAAAGAGAAGAGCCACATGTGAACTTTTATTTGGAACATGCCTGCTAGGCCGTTAGCTATGTCCATTTCTATATCCAGTCTATGGTCCCCATGTGTCATTACAGATTGTCTTCAGTGCGTCAGACTTTTTGAATAGACTCATGAGAACTATAGAAATAGAGGAGCATTTTATGACATCATCTTCAGGCAAACACGGAACTCATTTGTTGACCTTTTTATGGAATTTAAAAAGCTAAAAATCAGTATCTGCAAATATCGGCCATCGGCCACAGCAGACAGGCCAAATATTGGACATTGGTATTGGCTCAAAAAATCCATATCGACTTATCCCTATAATATAATAAAATGTGATAAGAAAATGTGATAAGCAACACCTGACCTTTTGCCCTGTGTGTCCCTGTCTTCTCTTGCTCCTGTCTCTTCCTTCTGCCTCTTGCTCCTGTCTCTTACTCCTGACTCTTGCTCCTGTCTCTTGCTCCTGTCTCTTGCTCCTTGCTTCTGTCTCTTCATCTTCAGGGCACCATCAGTGTGGGAGTTGATGCCACAGACCTGTTTGACCGATACGATGAAGACGACTTTGATGAGGTTCCAAGCAGCGGCTTCCCTCATATCGAGATCAACAAGATGCACATTTCACAATCTATAGAGGTACACACACACATTTCACAATCTATGGAGGTACACACACACATTTCACAGTCTATAGAGGTACATACACACATTTCACAATCTATAGAGGTACACACACACACATTTCACAATCTATGGAGGTACACACACACATTTCACAATCTATAGAGGTACACACACACACATTTCACAATCTATGGAGGTACACACACACATTTCACAATCTATAGAGGTACACACACACACATTTCACAATCTATGCAGATACACACACACACATTTCACAATCTATAGAGGTACACACACACATTTCACAGTCTATAGAGGTACATACACACATTTCACAATCTATAGAGGTACATACACACATTTCACAATCTATGGAGGTACACACACACATTTCACAATCTATGCAGATACACACACACACATTTCACAGTCTATAGAGGTACACACACATTTCACAGTCTATAGAGGTACACACACACACATTTCAGTCTATAGAGGTACACACACATTTCACAGTCTATAGAGGTACACACACACATTTCACAGTCTATAGAGGTACACACACATTTCACAGTCTATAGAGGTTACACACACACATTTCAGTCTATAGAGGTACACACACACACATTTCACAGTCTATAGAGGTACACACACATATTTCAGTCTATAGAGGTACACACACACACACATTTCACAATCTATAGAGGTACACACACACATTTCACAATCTATAGAGGTACACACACACATTTCACAGTCTATAGAGGTACACACACATTTCACAGTCTATAGAGGTACACACACACATTTCAGTCTATAGAGGTACATACACACATTTCAGTCTATAGAGGTACACACACACATTTCACAGTCTATAGAGGTACACACACACATTTCAGTCTATAGAGGTACACACACACATTTCACAGTCTATAGAGGCACACACACACATTTCAGTCTATAGAGGTACACACACACATTTCATAGTCTATAGAGGTACACACACACATTTCACAGTCTATAGAGGTACACACACACATTTCATAGTCTATAGAGGTACACACACACATTTCACAGTCTATAGAGGTACACACACACATTTCAGTCTATAGAGGTACACACACACATTTCACAGTCTATAGAGGTACATACACACATTTCAGAATCTATAGAGGTACACACACACATTTCATAGTCTATAGAGGTACACACACACATTTCACAATCTATAGAGGTACACACACACATTTCACAGTCTATAGAGGTACACACACACACATTTCACAATCTATAGAGGTACACACACACATTTCACAGTCTATAGAGGTACACACACACATTTCACAGTCTATAGAGGTACACACAGGACTTTATGTAATTACACAGATTAAAGGCTCTTTACCTGATTTTGACTGTCGTGAAAAACAGAACTAGTTCATTTGAAACAGATTGCAGTGGTCCAGTGTTCTTCCTCTCTTACCTTCTGCATTCTGAACATCTTAATTATTCACCACAGTGAGTTCATATGCACTTTGCACAACTCAGAAAGGGCATTAGCTGTAACATTAAGAATTAGCATGCTACAGCAAACTTCCTGATTATTGAAAACAGTGTATAATTACATGCGAACAGTACATAGTGGACGTACTTTGACCCCAAGAGCTGTTCATACAGTATATGTCAAACAGTATATCTATACTGGCACAAGACACATTGTGCTCAAAAATGTAATTTCTCTAACGCTCCGCCCACAAGCCTACATAACCAGGAAGTTCTGTGCAATGCTCCCCATGCTCCCACCACACAGCCATCCCTCTCAGAACAGTGAGAAACAAAAACATGCAGAAATAAAACTGAAACGAATTAAACATGCCTAATACCGTGTTTTTGGTGAATATGTCATTTTCAAAACAGTAAAAGGTGACACGGTGATCTAAAGATAGGGATTGGCGATATGTCGGTATTGGCAGATACCGATACAGTTCTTCAGTAACAATACCAATACTCAATACCAGTGTATTTTTGTGATGTCTGAGTCCTTGAGGGCTCTGTTTTGAAAAGACTAAAGACTAAAAATGGAAATAGAAAAGCGTCATGTGGCACTATGTTTACACAAACATGTAGCAAATGATTTTATATTCTTGTACATACATTTTGTTATTATTTTTATAAAAGTGAAAATATCAGTCACAGATTCACTGAAGATACTTTTGTGGGTTTCACTATGGATTTCAAAAGCTAAATATTGGTGATCGTCTACTGCAGCAGCCCAGATGTTATGTGTACAGTTAATGCCCCATAGAAGTGCAATACCCCTCTTTAAAAAAAACACACAAACCAATAAAAGTCAGATTTTTCTGGAGTACTTTGGGGAGTTAAAAATAGCATATATTGTATTTCTTATAGACAGTCTAACCTCCTCTCCTGTCCTGCTCATCTCTCTTCTCTGTAAACTGTTGTTGTGTACTTTTCTGTATTTCTCCCTCCTCAGGCTCCTCTGACAAACTCTAATACGGCGGTGCTCTCCGGCTCTCTCTCCACTCACCACGGAAACGGAGGAGGCAACATCGCCATGACGATCCGCCGTGTTACATCAGCACGAGGATGGGGCGAGGTGAGACAGGAAAAACAAAATTTGCCTTAAAATATGTTCACAAACAAGAGAAAGAGTTTGACATTGGTTTTCAGACTTCCTCAGAATGTTTTGGACTATACTGAATACATTTAAACTTACAGTAAAGCCCTAGTGTGTAACTTTAAGCCAGAAAATAGACTAAAATAAAAGCTTGTTTTTGTTTTTGTTTTCTTTTTGGTTGTTTACATAGCAATGAAAAACAGGCATGCTGAGTGGGCTTGTATCTCCACAAACTCTTATTTAGCCTGAAGGAGAGCCTGCTCCTGCTCCTTTTCATGGAAATGTAATTCCATTCCACAGTATGGCATACAAACCTATTTATCTTCATGGAGAATGTTCCAAATTATGGTTTTAACTTTCCATTTTCCATGGAATGCCACCTCCTGAAAAATTACCCAGTGGACTGTATAACTACCACCAAACAAAGTCTTAAACCAGACTAAAGGAATGGAGTGGTCGCAATGACCAAATCAGAACATAATGTTCTCTCTCCCTGTAGTTTAGACCTCTTCAGACATGTTCTGGAATGTTCCTGTTTGTCAGATGCCCTAACTGTGTCTCCATGGGGTTGTATTCTGTGTAAAAAAGAAAAGATAATGAAAGAGGCATGCAGGGGTCTACAGGTGTGAAATGAGCTGGGCAGAAAGTGTCATCTTTGATTATTTTTAGGGACACTAAAACTAGAGCTTTTAGAACAATACAATGAACTAAAACCCTCTTATAGTAATAGGAAAGGTGTTTTAATAATGGATTCAATAGGTAGGTAACAGTATGTAGGTCATTTGTAACATCTGTTTTAATTGCTCTGGGCCCCATTTATAAACCAAAGGCGGCTTCTATTTTGCTGTATATTTTGTAATAAATGTGTAATTATTTCAAATTGTAATAAAAGCTGCTAACTCTGTAATTTAGACCTCTACAAACATGTTCTGAAATGCATGGGATTCTTGGATTAGTTTAAAGTTAAATTTGAATGCCCCTGGTCATGTTTAAAAGTTATTTAATGTTTTTTGAGTTTTTTTTTTTTTTTTTTTCTGCAGGTGGAGTTTGGGGCTGGGGACATTCTCGGGCCTCTCATTGGGTTAAAGATGTTTAGAAATGTCACTCAAAGATGGTAAGAATAATGAAGACCTATTATGCTTGTGTTTGCTGTATAGTCATAACCTTTGACACCAGTGGATTATTATATTTTGATATTTTGGATATTTAAAATTGCGGTATTCTCATTTTCTTCCTCCTCTCTTTTCTTTCTCTTATCCCTATCTCCTTGTCTCTCTTCTTCCTCCCTCCTTGTCTCTCTTCTCCCTCCCTCCTTGTCTCTCTTCTCCCTCCCTCCTTGTCTCTTCTCCCTCCCTCCTTGTGTCTTCTCCCTCTCTCCTTGTCTCTCTGTCTCCTCTCAGTTGGATGACAGCTCAGTGTGGTCTCCAATTTTCTCCTCGTGGGCTCAGACCTTCCTGTTCTCTGATGACGGCGCGTCACCTGGACTGTAATACCATGGGCTACCTGCAGTGGCGCTGGGGGCCCAACAGCGCCATGACGACCAGCATCGTCCGCGACACCAAGTCCACGCACCTCACACTCGCCCTGCAGGTAAGAGAAGGAACTGCAGGCTGTGGCAGAGTGGTTAGCCTTAGTCTGCAGGTAAAACTACTGCCTAGAATCAGAACACACACTACTCCAATACTTTGTGAGTCAAGTCACCAGTGAGTTTCCCAGAGTCCAGATGGGCATTATTGACAACTGGATTAGCCAAAACAAATATGGCTGCTTATGAGGAAAAAAGAAAGGAGAGATATATGACAGGGGACTGAAAAACATGGAGGGTTTCTGCAGAATCAGTGAGCGAAACACTAAACCCTGCTCATGTGAGGAGAGACCTGTGAGAGGGTGTGTCTGAAATAAACAAATCTGATTGGACAATCATGTTTGGTTCTGGCTGGAGACGTGGCAGAGGGAGAAGGGATCAGACCAATGTCCCTCTGAAGAAAACATACAGACAGATATCAGTCTATAAATAAAGGAAGTGCATGGGGGTGGCAGAGTGGTTAGCCTTTTAGCCCCACTACAGCCCCCACTACAGGGGCAGCAGTAGCTCAGCTGGTGAGAGTTTGTCCATTGATATGAAAGTTGGTGGTTCGAATCCCGCTCTCCATGTAAACGTCATTGGTCGGTCAAATCTACTGACCCAGAGGATTCCAGCTTCCACAGCTGTTGTTGTGTCCTTGGGCAAAACCCACCTCACCCCCAATGTGTGAGTGTGTGTGAATGGGTGAGTGGTTCCCTGCTGTGAAGTGCCTTGAAGGTGGAAAAGCGCTGTATAAAAATGTGTCCATTTACCATTTTTTAAGGTTCTGGGTTTGAATCCAAAGCTGTGTGGCCAATGTATCATCTTCAGAAAGATTTCAAAATAGTTGAATGCTTTGAAGCTTTGCAAAATTATGATTGAGTATACCCGGCAGGACTGTGGCAGAGTGGTTAGTCCTCTCCCACAGGAACCAAACCTGCTAAACCAATATGCTAACATCATTATATTAGAGAGAAAAAGCACTGGACTGAACCAAACCAGCTGTTTTAACTAAGAATATCAGTGTAACTGAGAATCTCACTGACTCTCAGTTACACTGATGTTGTGGTTTTTGAGGTCTTGTGATGACATTCTTATTACCTTATTACATTGTTATAACATCTTGTGCCTGTAGTTGGGGGTTCCACACTCGTATCTGATGCTGAGTTGCCAGTACAAGTTCCAGGACGAAGACCAGACCAAAGTCAAAGGATCACTTAAGTATGAATTCTGATTATGTCCTTACAGAAAGAAATTCAGTGGCTAAAAGATATGAAATCATTTTGTATTAATCTGTACTCTCTCTCCCTCCTTTTCTCCCTCTCCAACTTACCCCCTTCTCCCTCTCTCCTCTGTCCTTCCATTTCTCCTCACCCTTTCTCCTCTACTCTTCCTTCTCCTCTTCCTTCTTTCTCTCCCTCCTCTCCCTCCTCTCTCTCCTCTCTCTCCTCTTCCTGGTTTATCTCTGTCCCCCGTCCCTCCTCATCTGTCCCTCCTTCAGGACTGGTTGGTTTGGGACAGTAGTAGAGTATGGAGCAGAGAGAAAGATCAGTCGACACAGTGTTTTATCGGCTACAGTGAGCGTCGGAGTCCCTCAAGGAGTCACCCTCAAAATCAAGTACAAATGTGTATTTTTATTTTCACTCTTTCACTCTCTTCGGGCTTGCCTCTTCTCAGACCTGACTATTTACTCTGGAGACATGTCACCCATATGCCACATGTGGGCATAAGGTTCTAATCCTAATGTGAACAGATTTAAACTCCAAACAAAAAATGCATAACCTGCTCAAATATACTACAAGCAGTACTAATTATGACTGTCAAAAGTATCAGGGAGACTTAGACTCAGACAAACTTTATTGATCCACAAGGGAAATGATTTGGACACAGGAGTCACACATCACAATATCATAGAATAACAAAGAGTAAAACAATAAATGGTAATAATAAAATCTAAATAAGCAGCAAAAAAGAGCAAGAGACAGGAGTCAAATAAAACATAATTATATAAATGTACAAGTCAAAATAAAATAGAAAAATAAGTAATAAAATCAGTCATAGGAAGCAACAATGATCTGATGATTGACAGGACATAAAACAGTTACATAAGGGTTGTTGTAGGGAGTATTATCTGTTACATAAGAGTTGTTGTGCAGTTGTAGGGAATATTATCTATTATTTAAAGGTGAGTTATACAGTTGTAGGGAGTATTATCTGTTATATAAGAGTGAGTTGTTGTACAGTTGTAGGGAGTATTATCTATTATATAAAGGTGAGTTGTTGTACAGTTGTAGGGAGTATTATCTATTATATAAAGGTGAGTTGTTGTACAGTTGTAGGGAGTATTATCTGTTATGTATCTGTCACTGTTTGAGTGGAGCTGTAGGAGTTTGTTGGAGAATGACCTCCTCTAATACTAATACTGGGAAAATCAGGTGTCACAGGGGGCGCCAGTCGTAAAAACTGTTGTTGTGCACTTCACCCACATTGTCTAGTGTGACAGTGGTGTGTGTGTGAGTGATGGTGGTGGTCGGAGGGACCGATGGCACAGATTGTTAGCATTGCTTCCGTCAGTCTGCCCCAGGGCCACTGTGGCTACAATAGTAGCTTATCACCACCAGGTATGGAGTGAGTGAATAATGCTCTGTAAAGCGTCTGTGAGTGTCCAAAAAAGCGCTATATAAAACTGATGCATTATTATTAATACTAATCGATATTAAAACTAGTATCGAAACTAAATATCTTTTTTGGGACGTACTGATACTAAAAAAGTGTCATTGACAGGACAGAAATTAAGTTTTCCTGAATGTCTTTAGAATGATGTTGAGTTAAGTGTAAGAGCACATATACTAGTATACACACATGGACCAACATGAACCTACTACACCACTGACCATTACACACATATAACACACATGGAATAGAAAAATGTACTACCATTTAATGTGGAAAATCACAGTATATTGTTTAAATAAACTATGTTTTTTATGATCATTGTGGTATATGAATTAGTGTTGAGTATTTAGTCTATTCCTTAGTATCCAAATCAAGTTGGATATGATGTAGTAATGATATAGATATAGTATCATTGCAATACTACTGCTTATTTTCTCACCTCTCTGTTTCCCCTGTAGGCTGTCCAGGGCCTCGCAGACTTATCTGTTTCCAGTTCACTTGACGGATCAGCTTCTGCCCTCTGCTGTGTTCTACGCCACAGTCTGCCCCCTGCTGGTGTACCTGGCTGTGCACAGACTCGTCATCATCCCCTGCACCCAGGCTCAGAAGGAACAGTCAGTCACTTTAGCAATATTACATCCAAAAGATGACTCAAGTTTGTGTGTTTTTTACTAAACACAGTTATGAGAAAACTAGGACTGCCAAATCACAGACACACGTTATGATTCATGCTTAAAACTAATCTGAAACTGAAGAGATTTGTGTTTCTAATTTCATAATTAGTATAGCTGTTTATTTTTTTGTCTTCTCTCAAATGTTAAAGGAAGCATATGTAAGATTTAGAGTTTAAATTGCTTAAACCTGACCTAACTACGAGGTTGTGGTTGTAATTGCAGTGCAGATTTTGTGGTTGTAATTGTAGTGCAGATGTATTCTTAATTAGAAAAACATTGGGTAAGTTGTTTTGGTTCTCGCAGGACACTCTCATTTGGGTTGAAAGTTTCAATGTTGAAATCCAAACCTAAAATCCCCCACCTAAACTAGTCTCTCCCTAAAGCCCAGCACCTGCACCAGTCATGAGTCAGAGCTAGTGCAGCCTCTGCAGCTCAGGGCGGGAGCTCTGGAGGTTTTCTGTCTGCAGGTTAAGGCGGTGCAGTCCTTCCATCTACAGCCTTGTGTTATCATATTGGAGATGATCATATTTCTCTTGTGTTTTCAGAGAGCTGGAGCTGCAGAGGATAAACTCAGCCACAGACATCGCCAAAAAGAAACAGGAGGCGGAGTCGGCTGTAAGTGAAACTAAACACAAACTTATTCTGAATTTAAAGCTGCACTAAGCAGCTTTTCTAGTGATTGTTCTCTCACTGGCTTGTCTCTTGCCTGGGCTTGCCTCTCCACAGACCTGAGGCGTCACCTGTTCTTCCTGGAGATAGGATGAAGTGCACCATTTGATTTAAGATTTTACTAAAAAATAATAGTTATATTTAACAAATATAAATAAATGACAATACTTTTATTCTGTGACATTAAGGTTTAAATAGTCAGAAAAAGTCTTTCCTTGTGTGTAAATTGTCTCTGCATTTATGGATGGAGTTTTCCGTGTTGATGACACAGGCAGAGGGATTCTGTTTTGGAACTTAACTGTACTTTCTGTATTTTTGTACTTTTCTTCTCATTTTCTTCCACAAACTGTCACTGCACTGAAACTACGATAATTATTGATCACAGGCACGAGTTTAATCTCTTCTAGTGAAACAACCGGCAGAAAAGTTACACAGTGTGCCTTTAAACAGTAATTTTGCTTGGTTTTGGTTTATCTAAACACATTTTTGTCATTTTGTGTTTCTTTCTGGATGTTTTATAGGTTTTGCTGATGCAGGAGTCAGTGAAAAGGATCATAGATGCCGAGGAGTCCAAGATGGGTACAATCTTTAAAAACAGCTCCAAAAATATGGGAAAACATTTCAGATTTACACAACGTCAAAACAAACTCCAGTGTTCAGTGTTCCTGTCTCCTCTGACCTGTGCAGATGAGTGGCTGTGTAAAAGTGATGATGCAACTCTCTGGTCCCACTTTGTTTAAAACTCCAAATGCACAGATGTATATTTGTATAACAGCTGAATTTGCACACTGCTGAAATGAGTTGATGTTTTTACAAAGAGAAAGTAAAATAATGTCAGTTTGAGACATGTTTACTATTTGTTGAGCAGTTTTATTTTTGTTTATTTTTATCAAAGAGCTCAAAAATGCATCGCTAAACTAATATAAAAACAGAAAAGTGGCGACATTTTTGTTCTGCAAGATTTGATTTGAATGTTTTAGCTTTTTCATCTTTATTTGTGCATGTGGCGTCTCCCTCTTCAGAGCTCAGAGCACTTACACACACACACTGTCACACACGCTCTCACACACACACACACACACACACACAAATGCATATATAGAATTACAGTTAAGGGACCTGTATTACACCATTTTCTGTTCTATGTCTGTGCTCTATGTTACAGAGTTGTTTCCTCATCAGAAACATAGCTGGAGTTAGTTTAGTTTGACCCCCTGTGGTGTGTGCAGGTCTGATCATCCTGAACGCCTGGTACGGAAAGTTTGTGTCAGAGCTGAAACAGGAGAAAAACCAAGTGATCGACGTCACTGTTCCTCTGCAGTGTTTGGTCAAAGACTCCAAGCTCATCCTGACAGAGGCCTCCAAGGTAAAAGGACTGAATATATGTGCTTTAATCCAGGGCATAAATACTGCAATACATGTGTATACATGTGTACACTATCTTTAAATGAATGTTACCAGTGTAAGTGTGATTCTAAGAATCTCAGACGACCACCAGAGGGCGTGCGATTCATTATAAACTCTGGATAGGGTATCGCTAGCTCAAAGCTCATGTTCAGCTGACCTGAAACTCCAGTTTTCAGAAAGGTCAGTTTGTGTAAATTTTTACTTATTTTCAGATCATAAACTTTTTCTTAAATCTACATTCTTCAGTTGTCTAACAAACTGCGTTTCAGTCATTATGTTTGGCTCGCTCTGCTCTGCTCTAGCTCCTCTCACGTGAGACCACACTCCTTCCACATGCGCCCTCTGGTGGTCATTACACTCCCATAGGGTCCACACTCCCTCATGAGACACATGTTTAAAGAGGAAATCTATACACAGTAGGGAACTTTACTTAAGTGCTGGTTTAGTCCTGATCCCAGTCCTGTTCAGTCTTAGTTTAGTACTGGTTCAGTCCTAGTTCAGTCCTTGTTCAGTCCCGGTCATGTCTCTGTTCTAGGCGGGTCTCCCTGGCTTCTATGACCCGTGTGTGGGGGAAGAGAAGAGCCTGAAGCTTCTTTACCAGTTTAGAGGAGTCATGCATCAGGTGCTGTCTGGAGACACAGAAGCCCTCAGGATCCCCAAACAATGTGAGCAAACCTCAGCACCAGCATGTTCAAGTCTCTGTACCTGATTTTATTGTGTGAAAAAGTGTGAAACGTGTGAAAAACTAGTTTATTCTGAGCATTTTGCAGAGGACCAAATTCCTCATTTAACCAGGGATGCACAGTACCAGAGCTCTAATCGATCTGTGCCGATACTGAAAAAATTGCTGGATTGGGTCAATTGGCTCAATGATATCAGTTCAGCTGATCTGGTTGGGTCTTTATAGTTTTCTTAATCATTTTCTCACATTTTTTTTACTTGGTTTAGTTTGATCATTTGATTCAAACATGTATCTGAACAGTAGCACAGGTGCTCACTTTGGAACATTTGTCATCAGGTCACACAGCTCTCAGGCTCTTTCTCAGAACACTGGACATAGCTCTCATTCACAAACACACATGATGAATTCACCCTGTTTTTTTCAACACTACAGCTCTGTTCTCATGTGCTAAAGGACTTTGGAACAAACTCTGTCATTTTAAATATAGAAACTCAAATATAAAATTGTACAGTTTGTGAGCACCAAATCTAACAAGAAAGGATTCCACACATGAGTCAGACAAGGAGCAGGAGCTCAGCATGAGTCCAGACTGTAGAGACTACAGACACATACACACACTGTGCGAGGTGAGAGGTGTAAATGTCTTTTCAAAAACACATATTACAGAACAATAGTAGTGTTGGTGCATTTGCTATTCCAACATCTTTCATTGTCTTCGATTTTTGATCAAATACTGCTAAATCAACTTTGCTATTGATAGTATGTGCATTTATATTTTACATAATACAATACAAACAGCTGTTTTCCAGTCCAAGATGAGTATATGTAAAGTATGAACCTGTATAGCAACTGCACTAAACCAGCTTCTGTGTGGCCCCAGAAAGCCGAACTGAGGCTCTGAGCTGTTCTGTCACATGAAGGAAAGAGCACATCAAACACACGAGCACAGTCTGAGAGTTTGAGTCGTCAAACTGCTGTTGGGAGATGATCCAACAGTTTTCAGTGTGAAACTGCATTTTACTAAGATGAAATTTTCTTTAGGAAAACTAAAATTATTTTTAGAATTTTGTGTGAGCTGTTTTGCAATGTCAGTTGTCAAAAGAAAAATGTGCCAAAGTGATTTAAACAAAGTGAGTGAGTGAAGTTTAGGGGTTACTTTTTTAAAGAGAAATCTCTCTCTTTCTCTGTACCTTAAATGTTTTGATTCATTCTAATTCCTTCTTTGTTTTTCAGCCCACAGGATCGAGTCTTCTGAGTCGTCCTAGAGTCTAACCACAGATGCTGAAACACCTGTACAGTTACAGTAGCAACAGTATTTTTTCTGCCGCACAAATTTTAAAAACTCAAAAGTGGAGAAATGAACCCTACCTGTGCCAGACAAGCAGACAGGTGTGACAGACAGGTGCGACAGGTGGATATCTAAAACATATATATTTATATTTAAGTTAAAAAGATGCAGATGTGAGGAGTATTGGTTTATTGTGCTCAAAATGTCTGGACATTCTCAACTGGTGTTTTTGGAGATTGCACAACTTAAATGATTTTGGTTAAAGCCAAATTTGTACCTATTTTAGTCTAAAACTAAAATGTGAAGTTGCACTATGTAACTTTTCTAATGGGCGAGTCTGCCACAAATTTGTCACAAAATGGAGAACTTATGTATTTTTGGGTGTTTAAATGCTTCAAAAATACCTTGAAAAACAGTCATTTTTATTGTGAGTAGTCACCCCTCCACAGATCTGATATGGCGTAGTGGTGTAGTGGCTTCACTTGCTTGTCTTTGTGGAGATGGAAATATTTAATGCCACACTGTGGAGCATTCCAGGCAAAGCAATAATAGTTTCATGCTGACAAGGCAGTGGACCTTCAATCATAAATGTTGTGCATCTTTAAGAAGTAAATGTCGTGGAAAAAAAACACTTTATTAATGTAAAGCAGTGAAAATGAACTACAGTATTACCACTACTACTATTATTGCCACTACTACTACTACTACTATTACTATTGGTACAAATTACATTGGAGGCATGGTGGGTGTTACTAGTAGTACTACCGCTGCTACAACTACTAACACTACTGATACTGCTACTACAACTATTACTCAACTGAATCAGCTACCGTTACTACTACTACTACTACTACTACTACTACTACTACTTGTAGTTGTAGCTGTGTTCCTGCTAAAAAAAACACCAGTTGAGAATCCACGTTTGACCATTTCCCATCAACAAAACTGTGAACTGAAGCTGACATTCTAACACTGATCTGAACCATGTTACTGTTTTACATAGGAATTCTTTGATTGTTACTGTGTATTTCCTGTTTAGTCTTTGAAATGTCTATGAATCATGCCTTTTCTATTGATTTCAAACATATTCACTATTGGCTGCACAGAAGGAGCTGCTTGATACAATGTGAAATACGCACTGGTCACTTCATTAGGTACAACTTGGTGTTTCTCTCTTTCTCTTGAGCTGTCAGAGCTGGCAAACAGCCAAAAAATGTACTCAAATACAAATAACATTACATCAAAATAATATTACTACAGCATAAGTAACTAACCAAACCAAAAAATGACTCAAGTAAGAGTAACTTAAAGAGTAACTGTTGGGACGTAACATCTGATTTATAATTTGAAGTGAATGTAATTTGAAGAACAAAATATGAAATAAGTCACAAAATCATTTCAAAGGACAGAGTCAAAAATGAGACAAACTAAATCAGAAGTGAAGAAACTGCAAGAAACACAAATGTTCAGATCATTTCAGATTGTCACATAAAACGTTTGTCACTTAAGACTTACTCACAGAGGGAAGAGGAAGCACAACTTTTACTCAAGTAAGAGTACACTTACACTGTACTATATATTACTCAAGTAAGAGTACTGTTACACTGTACTATATATTACTCAAGTAAGAGTATACTGTACTATATATTACTCAAGTAGCAGTAAAAGTGTGCTGCTAGAAAAGTACTTTAAAAAAAGTGACTCAAGTAACTGTATCTGAGTACTACATGTCTGTGTGAATTGTAAATAATTATATTTACAAATTAAAGATGCACTATGTGACTTTCTCCATGGAGATACTGCTTTGCCTGGAATGTTCCACAGTGTGGCATTAAATCTACCGGTCTTATTTAATTACAGGTGTTTTATTGTTCAGAGATAGTTCTTACTGTGGCCAGAGACGCCTTTCCACAGATCTAACAGTAACTTGGCCTAGTGGTCACATACTTGTCTCCATGGAGATCTGGGCAAAGTAGTAGAGTCACATGTCCTGCTTCTAACAGTGTCACTTTAACATGTGCCGCTAGAGAAGAGAACATTATCAACTTGGACCTGGAGGAAATGCTCACATTTTTCTACTGTGCTTTTCCACCTTCAAGACACTGAGTCACTTTACCTGAACCTGGAAGTGACATCACAGTCAACTGTCCAATTGATACTTCACAGGTGTCATAACATTCCCAAGGGGGTGATGCTAACTGTAGGCTCTGCTCTGTCTGAAGCTCTGTTACTCAACTTCCTTTAATCTGAGCTTAGTTTTGAACACAATCAAACCAGAAAGAACCACCTCATCTGAATACAGCAGGTGAGGTAAATCACATGTCAAATAAAAAAAACACCTCACCCGTTAAATGCTGTGAAATAAGTGTCTCTGAGCCACTCTCACCTTTTTGTTTAAAGTCAAACTCCAGGACCATGAATGCTCAGACTGATCCAGGCTCCTGGAACTGTGCTCTTTAAATCCAAGATGTATTTTTTCAGACCTTCTAAAAACAGTGTTTGCTAATATGTGCATTGTGTAACCATGGTAACTACTGAACATTCCTTCATAGAAAATGCAGAACTCCCCCAGCATGATGTCACTGCAAAGTGTCAATACAATAGATAAAATGATTACAGTAGGACAAAACAAGACTTTAGTCCAGGTTCTGTGGCTCATATCTGCATTTAAATTGAGAAGAACACTTCCCTCACATGTACCTGTTAAAGTGACCAGTGAGAGCAGTGCAGCTGAAGCCTTTCTCATCTATCTCATTCTGAAATGTTCTAATGTCTGCACTTTAATTTTATCTTAATGACTGAGACTGAAACATTCATATCTGTCCATAACATAACAGTGTTTAAGGGAA